TGCACTTTATAACAGAAGACTGTTATCAGCCACCTATTATTAATACATGAAAATACTATACCTTTTTTTATAAGTTAACTTATTTTCTAATCAAGCTGTTCAGAGATGATATTATACACCTCTGGACCAGGTGGAACGTGAACCCAGGCCTCCTGGTCCACGGTAGGGAGACTACCAAATTATGGAGCACTGGGGAGAATGAGGATAAACCATTTCTGATGCTAGATTAGTAGTTAATTTTAAATCTGAGACAGATCAATTTTTGTGAAGTAAAGGTATTAAAGAATATGGGGCAAAAGCAGATATATGGAAAAAGGCCACAGATCAGCCATGATCTCATTGAATGGCAGAACAGGCTCTAGGGCTGAATGGCCTAATCCTGTTTTTTTGTTCCTATGAAAAAGACATATGGAATAATTCTGAGAAGAATCCATTCTAGTTTTAGAGAGTTGGAATATTAAATATTTTCTTCACCATAATTAGGCAATACACTGAAGGGGACATTTTGTTATTTTGTTCTAAGGTCCTGGGATGGCCTATTGGTATTATAACTAGTCTACTTATCAAGCGATCCAGGTAATCCTCCTATTACCTGGATTGAGTTTCACCGCAGCAGATGGTGGAATTTGGATTAACATTTTTAAAAATCTGGAATTTAAACTCTCAGGATGACCATGAAAGTACCGTTCATTATTGTAAAAGACCATCTGGTTCACTAACGTCCTTTAGGGAAGGAAACTGTCATTGTTACCTGGTGTGACTGACATGTGACTCCAGAGCCACAGCAATGTGGTTGACTCTTACCTGCCCTCTGGGTAATAAACACTGGCCTTGCCAGTGACACCCACATCCTTCAAATGAATAAAGAAAGGACATCTAGAATAGTAGTTATGATTTAACTCATTTAGCTCAAACAGTACAGTTTATCCATCTGTATGATGTTAAGTAAGAAAAGCTTTGTGATTCAACACATCAGTAGATCATCAAATTTGATCCACGTAAGATATCTTCTAATTGTTTCTCCAGTACATCAGACCTTATGGCCTCAGTGACAGCTCTTTCGACTTTCCCTTTTAAAACATGGTGATATTGGCGTTTCAAAATCCTCTCTGTCATCCTATATCCCAATCCTCTGTCTTATGGACTCTGTTTATCACAAAAAGACGATCAAATACTCTTTAATACAATGGGTGTGAAGTTCAATTGCCATGGAAGATAGGGACTTTCTTCTGCGCAGTAGATATAGAAAAATATTGAAATTTGTTCATTACCAACTTAACTACAAATTGCCTTAATCTACTGACAAATAACTCTAAATAAAGTATACATTTCATTACTCCACAATCACTATCAACATCCTGAGAGTTGGCATTAACCAGAAAGTATACAGAATTAGTCATATAAATACTGTGTCATGAGCAGATCAGAGGCTGGGAATTCTATGACAAGTAATTCACCTGCTGACTCCCCAAAGCCTTCGCATAATCTACATGGTGCAGGCCATGAGTATGATGGAATACTCACCATTCACCTAGATCAGTGCAGTTCCAAGAAACGCAACACCATTGAGAACAAAGCAGCCTACTTGTTTGGCACCCCATTTACCATCTTCAACTTTCACTCACTTCACCACCACTACACAGTGCCACCAATGACATCTACAAGAGGCATCAACTGTAAATTGCCTTCCAAGCTGGACACCTTCCTGATTCACAACTATATCATCTTCTGTTTCGATATTGGATCTGAAAATTTCACTGGGTTGAAACTCTGGAACTCCCTCCAATTCCCTCCACGTGGCTAACAGCAGTTCAAAAAAGCGGCTTAGCCCCTCATTCTCAATGGCAAATCCGGATGGATACTAAATACAGCCAGTGATTTCCACATCCTGTGAAAATATTTTATAAAAATACATGCATCATCTTTTGTAAAATAGTCAAATAAACCCAAACCACCCTAAATGGTTGTTGATCACTCATATGAGAACAAGATCAGGAAGCACTGAAGACAATCACTTCTGTACATTTTTAATAAACCAGTTCAGGGTCATAGGGTCATACCACATGGAAATAGACCCTTCGGCCCAACCAATCCATGCTGACCATAATATCAAACTAAACTAATCCCATCTGCCTGCGCTTGGCCCATATCCCTGTAAACATTTCTTATTCATGTACTGATCCAAATGTCTTTTAAATGTTGTAACTATACCGGAATCCACCAGTTCATCTGGAGTTTAATTCCACACATGAACCACTCTCTGTGTGAAAAAATTGCCCCTCTTGTCTTTTTTTAATCTTTCTCCTCCCGCCTTATTAATATGTCTCCTAGTCTTGAAATCCCCCACCCTAGGGAAAAGACACTTGGCATTCACCTTATCTATACGCCTCATGATTTTATAAACCTCTATAAGGTTACCCTTCAACCTCCTGCACTCCAGTGAAAAAAAGTCCCAGCCTATCCAGACTCTCCTTTTAACTCAAACCTCCATCCTGGGCAAAATCCTGGTAAATCTGTTCTGAACCGTCTCCAATTTAATAATATCCTTCCTATAACAGGGTGACCAGAACTACACATAGTTCTCCAGAGGAGGCCTTACCAACGTCCTATACATCCTCAACATGATGTCCCAATTCCTATACTTAAAGGTCTGAGCAATGAAGGTAAGCGTGCTAAACACCTTCTTAACTATCCTGTCTACATGTGATGCAAACTTCCAAGAATTGTGTACCTGAACCCCTAAGTCTTTCTGTTCTACAACACTACTTAAGGCCCTACTTTTAATTGTATTAATCCTGCCCTTGTTCGTTTTATCAAAATGCAATATTTATGCACTCGTGTGTTTTCATTTGCCATCTCTGCAGCTCTTCTCACTATTTTCACTTTCTGTTCCTCACCATGAGTTCTTATCACCTCTGGAAGTGAGTTTTTAAACTCCCCCAGCAGAATAATCTCTCAAAGATCCTCATATGTCTTTTCTATCTTTAATGCTCTCATCCATCTATCGATGTTGCTCTGTTTAATTCTTTCAAATTGGACATAAGTCTGATCTGGTTCCTTCCTTTTATTTCTGCACCATTGTCGTTATGCTTCTGGTACCAATTCGTAGGCTCTCAGAAAAGCCTTTTTTTACTTCTCCGTATTCTCCTGACACCTCCTCTGACAGTGCTGCAAATATCTCACTAGCCCTGCCCACCAACTTGGTCTGAATTAACATCACCCACACAGTCTCAGGCCAGTTCATCTGGTTAGCCAATTTCTCAAAGGAAATGGAAAAGGCTTCTACATCATTTTCATCAAATTCTGGTCATATTTTGACATATTTGTATATATCCCTACCAGGTCTTTGACTACGATGGGTCTGGTCATCATCACTCCTCTTCTCACCAAGCCTATCTTCTACCTTCATTTCCATCATTTTAAGTTGGCTATCCTGTTTAATTTGCATAAATCAAAATCTAACTTCCGACAGAAATTTCATTCCGTGAAGGATAGAAGTTGGGATGAAGGGAGATCCTTCAATGAAAAATAAAATTTAGATCACACTGGGAGTTGTTTGCCATGTGTGAAAAAAGAAACCCAAGAGGGTAGAAAAGTGGTGAAAGACCTCAGGTATTTTCACTGTAATAAGGTGGGACACACAAAGTCACAGTGCTGGTGGTTTAAGAAAGACACTGGGAAAAGGATGTGGTAAAAGAGGCTAATCCAGTGGGAGTAGTTGAGATAGTGAAGGAAATCCCAAAAGAAGTCAAGGAGCTGCAGGACAGTGCACAGCCTAGTCACGGGCTGGATAGTAAGATAGCGTCCGATCTCTTCAAAGATTTCACCTGTGTGGGTAAGATTTACACAGGTACAACAGGTGGAGAAGGTAAAGAAGTTAAAATATTGAGAGATACAGGAGATGGTTTGTCTCTAATAGTAAGAGATAAAGTATTTGTACTCCTTCTGAAATGTTACCCAAGAAAGTGGTAATATGTAGAATAAATGGAGAGAGATTTAGCATTCCCCTGTGTAAGATAAGGCTGGAAAGTCCAATCAAGACTGGGGTAGTGACAGTGGGAGTGATAAAAAGAGTGTCTATTCCAGGGATACAGTTTGTTCTTAGAAACAACCTAGCTGGACAAAAGGTGGGAGTGATGTCCATTGTAGTGGAGGAGCCAAAAGAAAACCAGGGACCTGAAGAGTTAAGAGAAAAATATCCTGGAATTTTCCAGACTGTGTAGTGACAAGATCCCACAGTCATAAGTTAAAGCAAGAAGGGAAAACCAAAGAGAAAGATGAAGGAGAGATAGTAGGAACTGCAGATGCTGGAGAATCTGAGACAACAAGGTGCAGAGCTGGATGAACACAACAGGCCAAGCAGCATCATAGGAGCAGGAAGGCTGACGTTTCGGGCCTAGACCCTTCTTCAGAAATGGGGGAGGAGAAGGGGGTTCTAAAATAAATAGGGAGAGAGGGGGAGGTGGATAGAAGATGGATAGAGGAGAAGATAGGTGGAGAGGAGACAGACAGGTCGAAGAGGCGGGGATGGAGCCAGTAAAGGTGAGTGTAGGTGGGGAGTTAGGGAGGAGATGGGTCAGTCCAGGGAGGACGGACAGGTCAAGGGGGCAGGATGAGGTTAGTAGGTAGGAGACGGGGGTGGGGCTTGAGGTGGGGGGAGGGGATAGGTGGGAGGAAGGACAGGTTAGGGAGGCGAGGAGCTGAATTATCTGTACTTTTGAGGGGTGTGTGCAGTGGCAAGGAGGTTGAGAAAATAAGTTGAAAACAAAAACGTCAGATTCTTGATATCAAGAGAAACATATCCAATGCTCACCCCTCGGGGTGTACACAACGAATTCTGAACCTTGCTAATGAGAAGCAACTATTTTATTTTCATGTGTTTGCATCTCATTATTAGCTAAATTTTCCTCATTTCTATTCAGTTCCCAATCCTCCCCTCGTTCCTCAGGAACCTAGATGGCAAACCGATTTCTGAGATGGAAGTCAGAGCAGCAGCTCACCGCTCGCTTCTCCAGGCCTTCAGACAATTCTGTTTTCACCACCATGTCCCTGCATGCTCCATGGATACATTCATCTTTCATCCTTTGTCCATACAAATTGGCATTGCCAAAACACCAGCTTCACCACATCATTATGGCTACCCTCACTCTCACACCACACAGCTCATCAGGACTTTGCTTTGGAGCTCAGGGGCACCTGATTTGCCAACTTCTACCAGGCTACTTTATGCGCAGGGACAGACGTACTTACACAGGATGCTCCTTATGGCTATTTGTTTGCGTACATATTGCTCACTCACTTTGCACTTACTTAGGGGCTGCAGCCTTTAAAACTTACATTGCATTTCAGACCATACGCTGTTCAGTGCTAACTTTACAGGCTGCCAGTCTCTCTGCCTTGCATTTTGGATTGGACATAAACTCTTTCAAGGCTTGCATGTCTTTAAGGCTGAGGAAGAGGCAGGCACCTTTTCAAAGTCCAAGCATTGAACAGTCAAGAGGTGGACATATTACTGTACAACACCATGCTATGTTAATGTCACACCTACAACATGTGCAAGCATGCATGAGGCAAACATATTGCCTGCTCTTTAGCTGTATCAGCGACATCTGAAATTCAAATGAAAGCAGTCCTTAGTGGGGTCAATGAGATAACAAGGTGTAGAGCTGGATGAACACAGCAGGCCAAGCAGCATCAGAGAAGCAGGAAAGCTGACGTTTCGGGCCTAGACCCTTCTTC